AAAAAATCTAAATGAAAAAAAAAAAAAAAAAACACCTCTGCATTCTAAGATTTTGTTTGCATTAGATTATGATGCAAATTTAAACTTAAGAAAATGACATATTCAGTTGTCTATAATATGTGCATCATTCTTGTTTTTTTGGGTTTTTTTTTTTAGAGGTTTTTGCTATAGCACATGTGAGCTCTCCAGAAAGATGGAGAGAGACAGAGATACAGAAAGCGAGAAATCACCCCCCCAGGGGGATGGCCACGCCACAATCCCTTCTCCTCTTGGGATCTTGAGCATGCACGCACACACGTCTGGCATGAGTTAAAGCCACCGGATCCGGGACTTGAACCGCGGTCGGCTACATGGGAATCCCCAACATAGCCATTACGCTAACAGCTGGTCCTAAGAATCAGCTTTAATGATGAACTTTTCCCACCACAAGCTGCTCTCTCTGCCCCGTGTGTACCCAGGGACTTGGGAGCATCGTCGAGGACCTGCTGGAGCAGCCTCGCTGTTAGCACCGCTCGGGCTGTTGACTTCCTGCAGACTCAGCTGCACCCTCTCAGACTCGAGTGTGGCAGCCCTAAGTCCCGATGGCACTCTACTTGGAGATGGGCCTCCTAGGAGGTAATGAAGACCAAGGGTGTGGCCTAATCTCCCGGAGCCAGGGGTCCTTACAAGGGGGAGAGACGCCAGAAAGCGTCCTCGCTCTCTGCCACGCGAGGACAGCATGAAGGCTGCCTTCTGCAGGCCGGGGAGAGAGGCCTCAGCTCTCTGGCTCCCTTCATCTTAAACCTCCAGCCTCCAGAACTATGGGAAAACGCAGTTCTGTTGTTCAAGCCGCTCCTTCTGGGACAGTTCGTCCCTGCAGCCAAGTGACTAAGACTCCGAGACAGCGTTCCCACAGGAAGCCGCTTGAGGCTGGCTCCTAGGGCTTGTGGCAAGTGCTGGCTGGCAACCTGCCCTCCCGACTCGTCACAGCCCAGCCTCTGAGTCTCTCCCTGTCTTTCGGGGCTGGTTCAGGAGCTAAGGCAAGTCTAAGACAGTCCCTCCTCGAAGCAGGACCTTCCCGGGGTCCCACCAGGTGTCTGAGGGTCTGCGACGCTCTCTGCTCCTCTGGGCGCGTCACCCGTAATTCCTGCACTTCCCGACCTCGGACCTGAGGTGGCGTCCCCAGCAGAGTCAGTGTCCTCTTGCTCTGCACACGTGGGGCCTATACTGAGCCTCAGGGCTGAGGCCCACCCCACACCTGCCGAACCTGCTCCAGCCGGCGTGGGTTGAAGCTCGTACCCAGGAAGGCGACATGGGCGAGCAGAAATTCAGGCTGAAACCTCAGTGCTCTTCAGCATGTTCTCAGCCGACTAGTCAGAGCAGGCTCAAGACTGCAGCCCCAGTGGTTATCGAACACACGTATTTATTGAGGGATGTCTTACAGGAGTAGGAGGGGTGGGGGGAGGTAAAAGATTTACTCTAAGAAATGAGGTGTTCAAAGTACAGGAGCAATGATCATAAAACATGATGTCTGTCTTGTTTGATTAGGTAGAATCAATCACAGTTCTCAGGATGAGGGGGTCCATCTGTCTGGTGCATTTTCCTCTTAGATCTTGAGTACCGGGAAGGGTCTTTTGAAGAGGGGACTTACAGGAAGCTTGATAACTTCAGTCCCGGGCCAGCGCGGCAGCATTGCTTGTTCATAACGGCTATGTAAGGCCTAGATAGAAATCTTACCTTGTTAAGTAAAGACATGGTTAATATATACTACAGTGGAATATCTATATTACAACTAAGGGGGTGAGCCTACTGCCCATATGGAGAAGGAATGTGGTCTTGCGAGCAGCTTAATGACTGACCTACAGGTTACTGTGTACTTGGGACCCTCTACATGCTGTTCTATACAATGGCTGTGGCTGGGGGGAGCAGCAATCTTCCCTTGTCCTGAGATCAAAGGTGGCTCATGGTCTTTGGGGTATCAGTGCCTCACGGATGAGCCCCTAAGCCTCCCCAGCTACTGAGGTCGTTTCACCAATTTAGTAGTTTTCCATTAACCCAAACCTTTCTAATGCTATCTGTGTAATCCCCATCAGGAGAGGTGAATGCAGCGTTCTTTATTGACATTTTACAGGCAGGTGGAATGAGTCTCAGGAGATAATTCCCATTCGCCGCCGCGTTAGGGATCCGCATTCCTTCAGGATTATTGTGAAAGTTACAGTAAGGCTGGGGGCGTCATTTTGCCCTTATGAGGTACCGTCAGTAAAGCTCATGGCAGAGAAATTGAGCACAGACCAGTTGAGCAACACAGTGGAGAAGTGGAACTCGTAACTGTGGACCTTGCTCACAGTTCTCAGCCCAGCCGTGCTTAGGTATGAGAGGCAGCTCCCCATGCTCTGCCCATGTTAGCCGCATGGCCCCTCACACACCTCCTGCCCTCTCTGCTCTCCAGCCCCAGCAGCAACTGCTGGACGAAAACAGGGCGATCAGAGTGACCGTGCAGGTCACTGAGACCCAGGTTAGGGCCCGGACGTGGTGGACTGAGCAGACAGCGCAGGGCAGATGGGAGGGGGCCAGGCAGAGGGCTGGGAGAACAGCCACACCCAGGAGGGCCGGGGACATGATGGCTATGTGGTTGCACCCTGGGCAACAGGACGGTGGGGACAGTAAGATGGAGTGGGGAGTGACCACCCCTATCTGAGACGTGCTGACATCATGCCAGGAGCCCTGGCCTTATCTCACTCACAAGAACTGGCCTACTGCACCTACTCTCAGAGCAAGGTGGAGACTATGGAGGAGAAGGGGACACTGTGGGCCCACACAGCTGACAGCCCAGGTCTTGGGGGATCGTGAGGCGGGAAGCTGGGGCTGCGGCCCTGGGTGTGGCCAACATCCACGCTGCTCACTGCCCTGTGTGAGGCAGAGGGGTCCCGCCACTGCTAGCTGATGGACCCAGGGCAGCAGGGTCGTCAGCACAGTTTCCTCGGCCCAGCACAGGCAGCCCCACAGGCAGAGGGAGGAGTCACAAGCCCCCGAGTTGGGAACATCCCTGAGATGCCCCGTGCAAGTCTGGGGGTACCCTAGCCTGAGACTGAGACACTCCTCACAGGGCAGGGGCCACCAGAGCAGGGCTCGGTCATCCGAGTGTGCCCAGGAGCACCCAGACCATATGGACAGCCCGTCTCTATGGCAGTGCAGGGGCCCCTTGGGCAGTAACAGACTTAGATTAAAAGCCGGTGTCCCTCCACCTCGAGTCTCAGTGTGGCCTGGCCCCCCCACCTGTGGGTGCTCCCCCAGGAAAGTCACGCGGGGAACCAGGTTCGGCTGCAGAGTTTATTCAGAGTAGTCACCGAGGCCCCTTGGGCGAGGGGGTCCAAGAAGCCAGGACGGGTGGGGCCCCCGCATCATGGCCTGAGGGAGGAGCACCCCTAGATCAGCCCCTGCGACACAGGAGGGCAGGCGCACAGGGCCCTGCTCAGCCCGGAGGCCCGTGGGTGGTGGGCAGGGCCTTGGGCTGGCGGTTGGTACCTGCGGCCCCGCTCTGGCCAAGCACCGGGTCCCTGAGCCTCAGCCCTCTGACCAGGGCTGGGCTGAAGAGCCAGGTCATGCAGGTGGTTAGTGCATGGGGTGGGGGGACCCCGAGTTCGAGTCCAAGGGCCTGCACACAACCCGGCCCTGCCCCCAGCAGGACCTGAAGGGGCACAGCCAGTGCACGGCCCTGCACGCCCTGCTGGACAGAGAGGCCAACAGGGCCTGCCCGCGTCCCCTCCCCGCCCAGGACCCCGCCCGCCCGGCAGCCTGG